TGGGGCTGTTGCTGCCCTCCCTTAGTTCCCTCCATCCCAGGAACCACCCCAGTGAGATTTGCTGCCCAGGGAAACATACAGGCACTGGACATTGCTGGTGGCATTCTTCTTCCATTAAAACTGCCAGGACAGGTGGGTGAACAGGACTGGCTTTGTCTCCTGTTCGTCTGTTTCAACCAAGGCTTAAGAAATACCGTGAGTACAAATGGCTTTTAGGCCAGGCCTGAATCCAAGTCCAGGGAAGGGGTGGGGACAGTCCTGGGTGGGTCAGAGCTGCCACTGCACCAGCTAAGAAAGCCCAGCCCATGGGGTGCCTGGGTGACTCCATCGTTAAGGGTCTGCCTTAAGCTCAGGTCATGATCCCAGGGTTTTGGGATTGAGTCCCGCCCCCATAGAGCCCCGCCCCCCCCAGCCCCTCATCCTGCTCCCTGCTGAGCAGGAAGCCTGCTTCTCCCTTTCCCACTCCCCCTGCTTGTGTTCCCTCTCTTGTTGTCTCTCTCTCTCTGTGTCAAATAAACAAATAAAATCTTTATAAAAGAAAGAAAGCCCAGGCCAGTCTGTGAGAGTCCTCAGGATGCAGTCACACCTGGATTTTCAACCTTGCAACCATGGGAGGATGTGGTCTGTGGCAGTGATCCCCAAAGACCATGGCAAGACAGCTAGGGTTCCTGAGCTTAGGTCCAGCCCCTCCTTCTCTCTGAGACCTGGGGCTGTCCCAGGTAGAACCCTGGGCACTGGCTGAGTGTGTCACACCCACACAGGGCTGCTGGGACGTGGGGAGCAGCTTCAACCTGGACCCCTGGGACAAACCCGGCCCCAGGTCCAAAGGTGCAGGAAGCCTGAAGTCAGAGGCAGGAGCGGGTTCAGTATCACAATGAGGAAAAGCTGGACTGAATCGGGGGCCTCCCAAGGTCTGCCCCTGTCCCCTGTATGACGTCTGCTAGGGTGCTGGCCCCGTTACTGTTCCGTGCCTTGCCCATTTCCCTGTTGACCCTGAACTCTCCAGGACGCAGTGCCTGGCCCTCAGGGATGCTGGGTCTCTAAGTGTGGGACCCAGAGATCCAAACAGAGTCACAATCCTGCATGGAGTCCAACCTCACTGTGGCCCTCATGAGCTCCATGTGCGAGGAGGAAGTCAGAATGTCTGTCTGTTACAGCATCCAGGACCATGGTTGGACAGATGCCAAGGAAGCACCTGAATCCATCAGGGCATATGGCACCCATGAAATTCACTCTGGGGGACACTAGAGGAAACCTTACAAAGATGGACAAGCCACCAGGACCTCACTGCTCCAGGATACACCAGGATCTAGAGGATCTAAAACAAGGGGTGGTTTCAAACTTGAACTCCAGGTCCACCAACCGTGAAGGGCGGGGTGGATTTGACAGCTAGCTTCGGTGGAATGCAAAGCCAAACCAGTGTGTTGCTAGATAACATTTCCCTAAAGTTTTCCTATTAAAACTCCCACTATGAAAGGCATTTCCCATCATCATCCAGAGTACTGATATGAATTTCGACAACTGAAGCCAAATCCTGTGAACCGTCAGCACCCCACTCCTTGCACCGGACCCGACCCTCTCTGTTCTCCTGGCTGCTCCAGGCTACTTCACTTTTGCAAAATGCTAGTTGCAACTGACCGAACTGCTGTCACAGCCCTCTGAGTGACAAGACAAACTTCGAAAGGTGACAGTTGATATATAACTAGGGTGTCATTTATTTTTTGCTAGCCGGTGATTTTTTTCCTCGGCCCCACCAGACAGACCAGCTGGTGGCTACACTAACAAGAACAGAAATAAGAAATGTGATCATAACAGCCGTCCTCCATATGTGTTATGCTCGCTGTACTTTTCCATTTAAAAAGAACATTCGCCATCCACAAAAATAGACTCAAAAGGGATGAAAGACTTAAATGGGAGACAGGAATCCATCCAAATCCTTGAGGAGAACACAGGCAGCAGCAACCACTGTGACCTTGGCCACAGCAACTTCTTGCTAGACACGCCCCCAAAAGCAAGGGAAACAAAGGCAAAGATGAACTATTGGGACTTCAGCAAGAAAAAAACTTCTGCACAGCAAAGGAAACAGTCGACAAAACCAAAAGACAACTGACAGAATGGGAGAAGATAAGTGCAAATGCCTTATCAGATAAAGGGCTAGTATCCAAGATCTATAAAGAACTTCTTAAACTCAACACCCAAAGAACAAATAATCCAATCAAGAAATGGGCAGAAGACATGAACAGACATTTCTCCAAGACAGACATCGAAATGGCCAATAGATAAATGAAAAAGTGCTCAACATCACTCGGCATCAGGGAAATACATATCAAAACCACAATGAGATACCACCTCACACCAATCAGAATGGCTAAAATTAACAAGTCAAGAAATGACAGGTGTTGGTGAGGATGTGGAGAAAAGGGAACCCTCCTATATTGTTGGTGGGAATACAAGCTGGTGCAGCCATTCTACAAAACAGTATGAAGGTTCCTCAAAAAGTTGGAAATAGAGCTACCCTATGACCTAGCAATCACACTACTGGGTATTTACCCAAAAGAAACAAATGCAGTGATCTGAAGGGGCACGTGTACCCCAATGTTTATAGCAGCAATGCCCACAATAGCCAAACTATGGAAAGAGCCCATATGTCCAACAACAGATGAATGGATAAAGAAGATGAGGTATAGACGTACAATGGAATACTACTCAGCCATCAAAAAATGAAATTGTGCCATTTGCAACAACATGGATGGAACTAGAGGGTATTATGCTAAGCGAAATAAGTCAATCAAAGAAAGACAATTATCATATGATCTCTCTGATATGAAGAATCTGAGAAAAAAAACAGAATCATAGGGGAAGAGGTAAAAATAAAATAAGACAAAATCAGAGAGGGAGACAAACCATAAGAGACTCTTAATTATGGGAAACAAACTGAGGGTTGCTGGAGGGGAGTGGGTACCTGGGTGATGGACATTAAGGAGGGCACGTGATGTCAATAGCCAAACTATGGAAAGAACCTAGATGTCCATCAACAGATGAATGGATAAAGAAGATGTGGTATATATATACAATGGAATACTATGCAGCCATCAAAAGAAATTAAATATTGCCATTTGCGATGACATGGATGGAACTAGAGGGTATTATGCTTAGCGAAATAAGTCAACCGGAGAAAGACAACTATCGTATGATCTCCCTGATATGAGGATGTGGAGAGGCAACGTGGGGGGTTTGGGGGTAGGAAAAGAATAAATGAAACAAGATGGGATTGGGAGGGAGACAAACCATAAGAGATTCTTAATGTCACAAAGCAAACTGAGGATGGCCGGTGGGAGAGGGTGGTGGGGTTATGGACATTGGGGAGGGTATTTGCTATGGTGAGTGCTGTGAAGTGTGTAAACCTGGCGATTCACAGACCTGTACCCCTGGGGCTAATAATACATTATACGTTTATAAAAAAATAAAATAATTTATTAATAATAAAAAAGAAGCACTAGGTATCAGGGTGGAGGAGAAAGCCAAGGTTGAACTTGGGAACCGTAAAAATTAATAGAAAATTATATCTGAATATAGTTTATTTGAATAGTATAGCACAAAATAAAAATACCATGGTGGTTAAAAAAAAAAAAAAAGGAGGGCACGTGATGTAATGAGCACTGGGTGTTATATAAGACAGATGAATCACTGACCTCTGCCCCTGAAACCAATAATACCTTATATGTTAATTAATTGGATTTAATTTTTTTTTAAGTACATTAAGGGGCGCCTTGGTGGCTTAGTCAGTTAAGTGACTGACTCTTGGTTTCGGCTCAGGCTGTGATCTCCAAGTGATGAGATCATGTCCCAGATCAGGCTCCATGCTCAGCGCAGAGCCTGCCAGAGATTCTCTTTCCCTCTGCCCCTCCCCCCGCAAAATAAAGAAATAAAATGAAATCTTTAAAAAGCACGTTCAAAGGACAAATCCTATGTGATTCCACGTATACGAGGCCCCTTGAGTCAGATTCAATGAGGCGGAAAGTCAGATGGTGGGCGCCGGAGGATGGGGAGGAAGAATGGGGAGTTATGGTGTTTCAAGGGGACAAGGTTTCAGTCTGGGAAGATGAAAAGTTCTGGAGAGGGACGGTGGTGAGGCTTGCACCAAATTGTGAATGTGCTTCATGCCACCGAATTGTGCACTTAAAAATGGCTAAGGCGGGCGGGGGGCGTCTGGGTGGCTCAGTGGGTTGAGCCTCTGCCTTTGGCTCAGGTCATCGTCTCAGGATCCTGGGAGTCAACCCTGCATCAGGCTCTCTGCTCAGCAGGAAGTCAGCTTCCCCCCTCTCCCTCTGCCTGCCTCTTGGCCTACTTGTAATCTCTCTCTCTGTCAAATAAATTCTAAAAAAAATTTTTAAATGGCTAAGGGACAAATGTCATTTTATGTCCATTTACCACAATTTTTTTTTTTTAACCAAAGTGAAAAAAAGCAATTTTCACATGCTTTATCTGCCAGCTTGGACCTCGCCGGGTCCTGAAAGTGAGCAGCGCCGGCAGGTGCAACCAGCCCCGCCTCCCGGAGGCCCGGATGTCCCAGTAGTGACCAGAGTATCCCTCCTGGCAGCGCCCACTGCAGAGCCAGGCTCTCGCCACCCCATGCGGGGGCTCAGTCCCTCTTCATTGCTTCTGCCCACCCCACACCTAAGCAGGGGTTCCCAGACAGACAGTGTGTGCGCATTCTGGGGAGATGGAAAAGGGATCTCACGGAAGCCATTACTGCGTGCAGTGTGTCCACGCCATGCTCATGACAGTGACCTTTGGATAAAATCTATGAGGGTGTGAGTGAGGGTGTGTGTGTGTGTGTGTGTGTGTGTGAAAGAGAAAGAGAGAGATGACTCCCATGAGGTGCTGAACATGGTGCTTTAAACACTGTTTTTAGAATTGTATCATGATTCCTGAACTTGAACATCGGCTTCCTGCTAAACTACACCTGTTTCCTCCCCTGTCGCCACCCCTGCCCCCAGGCTGCTCAGAACAGCAGCGCCAGCCCGAGCTCCCGAATGCTGACGGCTCCCGCTCCCCTGGCGTCCTCGGTCCTCCATGGCCTCTCCAGTCCCAGGGGAGATGCTCCGCAGAACCAGTCGCCCTCTGAGAAGGAAGGCAGGAGCAGGTGCGCCCCACCCAGGGTCCCAGGGGCAAGACCAGGCTGCAGCTGTGGGGCAAGACGGTTGAGCTGTGGATGCCAACCACAGCAGGGCAGTTGGCCAATGGTCCGCTGGGAGAGAGCCCCCCGGAGTAACAGCCATGGGCCTTGGAGAGAAGTTTCAGGCAGAGGACCAGGCCACTTGGGCCACGGAACACTGGGATACCCACTGCCAGCAAGAAAGACTGGGGTACCAACTGTCTCTCCTCCAGGGAGCTCAATTCTGCAGGTCCTTTGACCCTGAGGGCAAATGAAGCCAGGGACAGGTCAGGTGGTCTCTGAGGCCCCCTGGGGGCAGAGACCTGGCCCCAAGTCATGCTGGCCCCTGCTGCTGCTGGGCTTGGCTGTGGGTGCCCAGGGCCGGCTGCCCCCCACGACAGCAGCCCCACCGAACAGCACCCCAGAGCCCAGAGCCCCAGCAGGAAGCAGCTCTCGGAGCCTGTGGGACAGGTAAGGGACTGAGTGAGTCAGGGGGGTGAGGGAGGAGAGCGTCTTTGCAGTCAGAACTGGGCCTGGGACACTGAGAGGCTATGAGGGGGACAAGAAAGACAAGGAAAAAAAATCAGTGAGAAGAGAGGCAGCCTGGACAGACCCTGGCTTTATTTAAAGTGTTGACATTTTGTCCAGGGTGTATTTGTTTGCATTTTTTTTTTTACTATTGCATTAAAATATTATTTATCTTATTTATTGCACTTTCTGGCACTCCAAAATTTTGCACCCAAGGCTAGTGGCTCACTCACCTCACCTTGGTCTTCTGGGTAGGGAAGAAACAGGAGGCAGGGGCAGGATATCCATGTGGTTGGTGGGTGGTGGGTGCTGTGGCTGGGCCAGGGTGCCCAGGCTACCTCCTTTATGCTGATGAGTCACCTCCTTGCCCTTCTCCTGCTGGGCAGGGGCCACCCATCTCCAGTCGATGCTTCCTACCTCAGAGTGGGCCTTCCCTGCTGTCCCCAGGTCACTGGACCCTCTGCCAAGCATCTTCAGCCAGAGCCACCTCCTGCAACCCACCCCCTAAGAACTCGAGCCACCCAGGGTGCAAGCTCCTCCATGGGAAAGGCCCCCGCGAGGGTCTTTTGGGGGGCCACGGTCAGCCCCCACTTGTTGATTGAACCCAGCCCCCACCTCTCATGTATGGGTGGGAAGTCCCTGGACAAAGTGCCAAGCATCTGGGTCCATTCACGATAATGGGTGACAAAACAGCACCTTAATTGTGGGCGCTAATCCCTTTAGGGGCAGAATGTCCCTGAACAGCCCCACAAGGCACAGCCCACTGTCATCCCCATTTTACAGATGAGGATAGAGGTCCAGAGAGCTGAGGGGATCTGCTCAGTGCCATACAGCTGGTGCAGACTCCAACACTCAAATCCAATGGCCTGCAGCTGTTCCCACCCCGATCTCCTAACTTGGAGGGGGCTGACAGTTCTGCTCCTCGAAGCCTGAGCTGCCTACCCGGCAAAGCAATGGGTCCCAATTGGGTGAGGGCCTTGTAGTCTGACCCCCACCCCAGGGATGCTGGTGTCGTCGTGGTGAAGGGCTAGAACAGCATGAGAGGCGTCTGTTCTGTACTGGCAGGCCAGCCATGGAGGGTGGGTCAGCACCTGTGGGGGTCGGGCAAGGACTGGGATCTCAGCGTCCGGCAGGGTCCAGGGAAACACAAAGAGAGAGATGGAGCCCCATGCAGGGTCTGGCCTTGTGCTGGGGCTGGGATCCCAGGGGAGGAAGATTTGGCCCCAGCTCAATGTCCCTTGGGAGAGGGGCAGGTGAAACAGTAACCACACACAAGGACGGTGGCAAAGGGGTACGGGCACAGAATGCCCGAGAAGCTCCCAGTGGTCTGCAGGGCTGGAAGGAGTGGGCACTGAGGCCAAGATGGTCTGAGGAAAGGCCAAACAAGTGACCAGCACCTGACCTGGCAGACCCACCTCGAAGGACAGATTTCATCTGGGGCATCCTGGGGAATGTTTGCAAGGAAAGGACATGACCAGACTTGGATGATTGAGGGTGGGAATCCAGGGCTAGAAAGACTTGGAGAAGTGTGTGGCGGGTTCCCTGGCGGAGTGCACGGGTCCGGTTCCCTGGCGGAGTGCACGGGTCCTTGGAGATTGAGGGGGTGGGAGTAACAGGAAAGGGAGGAGCCAGGATGTCCCCCTGGGTTTTTTGCTAGCCAGTTAAGGGAACGCTGCGACAACACCAGTGTGTCCTGTATCTTAACAAAATGGTCCAAGAGAAGGAGTGTCTGCAAGACCTTGGTCTCGCCCAAGGAGGTCCACTCACTTTCCTGACACTCAGGGCCGGTGGATATAGAGAGAATGGACCCAAAACAAGGAGCTCACATGCCGTCTTGAGGACAGACCGATAGACCATTTTAGAGCAGTAAGGTGGGAGGAGGGAAATGACCAAGCTGGTTTCACAGACAAAACGCTGTTGGCCAGTGATGGGATGTCTCCCGGCAAAGGAAGTAGCCAAGGCTGAGAGGAGAGTGAGGTGCGCAGGCCACATCAGAGATTGGGGGAGGGGAGAGGGAGACTGGTGGCAGACCACAGGGGTTTCACGCACTGGTGCTTTTTCCTGAGATCCTTGAGGGACTTACGTAGGGGACTCTCAGAGTCAGATTTGTGTCTTGGGAAAATGGTTCCGGATTTTTTTTTTTAAGACTTTATTTATTTGACAGAGATCACAAGTAGGCAGAAAGGCAGGCAGAGAGAGAGAGAGAGACAGAGAGAGAGGAGGAAGCAGGCTCCCCGCTAAGCAGAGAGCCCATGCAGGGCTCGATCCCAGGACCCTGGGATCATGACCTGAGCCGAAGGCAGAGGCTTTAACCCACTGAGCCACCTGGTGCCCCTCTTTCTTCTTTTTTAATAGAGACATTTTGATAACTATAAATTTTCCTTGGAGCACCACTGTCACTGAATCCCATAGGTGGGATTCATCAAAGAAGTGGGACTGCATTGTGCCTTGATGTGTGGAGAAAAAGTGGGGGGTCTTCACATGGGAGAACTATGAGTCAGGAATGTCCCAGTCCCAGACCAACCAGTAGGCCCAGAGAGGAAGCCACCTGGCTGGACCATGGTAAATTGTAGGAGAGGAACCCTTGGAAGCTCTATGTGAGGCTCAGCGATTTACTGAACACCTACTCCATGCAGTGTCACCATCAGCACTGAGGATTAGGAGATGACCAGGACAGCTTTGGAAAGGGGAGAAATATACAAGACATGGGTGGCATCTACCTCAATCAGGGGGTTGGGTATGGGGGGTGGGGTCATCCAGGTGTGTCACAGCCTGTGGGGTGTGGGGTCATCCAAGTGTGTCACAGCCTCTAGGAGGCTGACTGCCCAGCCCCACTGCTACAGCCTTATGCCCATCACAGGTTCCTATTCTGGCCTGGGCCCCATGGGGCAGGCCCCAGGTGCTGGCCCGGTGGGTTTTGGCCCGAAACTCAGTCACCCTGGTATGTTTTCAGTGACGGAACCCAGCTCACCGTCCTAGGTAAGTGACTCTCACCACATTTCTCAACCTGTCCCACCCCTCTATTGTCTTGGGAAAGTTAGTTTTCTTTGGGGGCTGCTTCCTGTCCACTCTCCCAACCTTAAGGACAGAGCTTCTAGCAGGTCTGTGGGATCTGGGGGAAGTGGATTGGCCTGAGGGAACCAGCAGGAAGGACCCAATGGTACAAACATTTACCATTAGAATCTGACAGTTGAATGTGTTCGGATTCCAGGGGCCTAGGCTGGGGGTGGGGGCTATCCAAAAATGGAGTCTCCTTCCCTTCTTCCAGGGTAGACAGCTGTGTGGGGTCCAAGGCTGGTTCTGACTAGGGGTCCTGGGGCTAGTCCTGGGTCCCTTCAGGTCTTGGCCAAGGGCTTAATAACATCCAGGCTAGGAGGGCCACACAGGAGACTGGGGACATGGCTGGGGCTTGTGAATCCAGCCTCTGGGGGCACAGAAGGGCAGTCTGAGGGGAAGCCCATGGGAGGGGGATAGAACAGTCTGGTTTGCTCTAGGCTGAAGTGCTGAGGACCTCTGCTAGGCCACGAGGACACAGGCACAGAGACATGAGTGTTGCAGACCAGGATGACCAGAAATACAGCCCTCCTAGGACATTGGTCAGAAAGGAGCAGGTCCCATGAGGCAGAGCCTTACTAGTCCCTGGAGCCCCATAACCCCCAGGTGTCTCACCTGTCCAAGGGCTGGCCTCCCGCTGGAAGGCAGGACAGAGCCGTTCCTGAGAGTGACAGGGTCTCCATGACCCACTGGGCGCAGGCCTTGGGACCTCCCCACACACCGTCAGAGCTGTCCTGGCAGGTTGGATAGGGGACTCCAGTTCACAGGGCAAGTACCTGGATCTGGAAGAATGAAGTGATATGGGGGCCAGAAGCTGGCCTGAGAAAGAAACTGAGGCCGCAGAAGCACTTCTCACGTATCTGGGAGAGGTGACATGGCAGAGCTGCTGGGAGCCTCAGGGGCTGCCTGCTGTCCAGGGCTGGAGTCAAAAGGAGGGTCTCCTTGTAAACAAGCATGGACACCATGGGAACAGTCACAGAGGCTGTAGGTAAGGGAAGGGGTGTCCAACACGTTGACTCTGCCTGCATCTTTCACTCTCCCTTCTGTCCACATAGGTCAGCCCAAGTCTACACCCTCGGTCATGCTCTTCCTGACATTCTCTGAGATCACGGACAACAAGGCCACCCTGGTGTGCCTCATCAGTGACTTCTACCCCAGCGGCGTGACGGTGGCCTGGAAGGCAGACGGCAGCCCCGTCACCCAGGGCGTGGAGACCACCAAGCCCTCCAAACAGAGCAACAACAAGTACGTGGCCAGCAGCTACCTGAGCCTGTCACCCGACAAGTGGAAATCTCACAGCAGCTTCACCTGCCTGGTCACGCACGAGGGCAAAACCGTGGAGAAGAAGGTGGTCCCCTCACAGTGCTCTTAGGTCCCCGACACCCTCCCCGACCCAGCGGGGCCTGGAGCCATAGGACCTCCAGGACGATCTTCCCTCCCCCCAGGGTCATCCCAGCCCTTCTCCCTGTATCCAGTCAACACTCAATAAAATGCTCTTTATTCAATCAGAAATCGTGCTCTCAGCTCATTGCGTTTAAAACACTTTGTGTCCTCAAATGTGAACACGATTCTTTTCACCCTGTGGGAAAGGAGTCAACAGAGGCATCGTCACGTTTCTGGGAGGGGAAGTTTCACTCTCACTCAGAATTGCCAGAGAATATTCCAGAACAGGAGATACCGACAGCAGAACCAAGATAGGCCATCCTCCACCATGTCTCCATGGTTACTTTTCTTGCATGGACCACATCGGTCACCACCAGTACCAAAGCCCACTGCTTCTGGTTCTCTGTGGACTCCTGAATAACGTCTGAGCTCCTCCCCAGAACCTAGGGCCTCGCCATCAGGGACTAGCTCCTTTCTGAGATGTCCACTCTCCTTTCTTTATGCCCCCCTCATTGCCATGTTTTGGCTGGTTTTCTACCCCATATAGATATTCCCTATTGTCAGCCTTGAGCATTCACCCTTCCTTAGGTTACCCCCTGCTCCTGCCTCCCCAGGAACACTGTCCTGTGCCCCTCCCACAGTCTGAGTCTCTGTCACACTCAGTACAGGACCCTCAGTCCCTGGACCCTAGTCACTCAATCCCACACTGCCACTGAGGACTCCTCCTCCTCCCACATGTGTCATCGGGTCCCAGCGTGTATTCAGGGTCCCTGGGAAGCAGGGACCCTTTAGAGTCCAATCCACCACTGACCCCACCACAAGCACTAAACCAAAATGTCCGTGGGTAGTCACTGGGGCCATGAGTTCAACGTCAAGTTTACATTCTGGAGTGTGTGCTGGACAACTGTGAACCATGAGCCAGCTCACCTTCTTAGGAGTTGGCAATGGGCCCTGAGAACCAGGAAGACTGCTGTGCTAGGAGCTAGCTCAGGACCTCAGGACCCAGCTCTGTGTCCCACAGACAGACTGGACACGTGCACTCGCACGGTCAGGTCACATGCACATGGTAGTACACACGCATGTCTGCTAGTGCACACATGGCCAGGTTGGGCACGTGTCTAGGATGTGTGGTGGCATACAGAAGCCTCCATGGGCCTCTGCTCAGCCAAGGGCACAGGCCCCATCATGTCTGTGTTGGAAACAGGTCTGTCGGCTCTGCCGGGTGGCATTCCCCAAGCAAGCTGAGCCACACACAGAGCTCCTTCTGGGAAGCTACCTGGGATAGGATATGTCACTCAGACACTCCTATTTCCCTGCCCCTCCATGGCTCGGGACAGGGGGAAGCTCACCCCCCCACCAAGGACCTGAAGATGCGGGTGGAGAGGAATCCCCTTCTCAAGCTCCCATGGGCCAGACCAGCCCCCACAAGGAGGAGGCTGGACCTTGAGCTTCTGTAGCAGCTGCAGGTAGGCCTGGGTTTGGCGGGGTGGCCGTGTGCTGCCGGGGGCGACAGAAGGTTTGTGTTCCAGGCTATGTCACCATGTGATGTTCTCTTTAGGAACCAAAGTGAAATTTGGACTTGAATTTCTCTCCTTTCCATTCAGTCTAGGACTGGGATCTGAATGCTCTGGCATTCTGGAAAGTTCACTTTTTGTCTGGCCATCTCACCACCTGTAGCCTATTCCCGCTCTGCAGCACCTGGTGGGGACAGGATGGGCCAGTTCCCGTGACCCCTTCCTGCCCTCGTTGCTGGGACTCAGATCTGCCTCTCCAGCTGACCATCCCCGCTGGCCTCTGGGATAGAAGGAATCTTCAGTTTTCCTTATGGGGTAGTTTCAATCTTACCCAGAATAGCCAAGAGAATATTCCAGGATAGAAGACAGCCCAGCAGGACAGGACAGCCCACCCTCTGCTCCTTCCCTATGCTTACCATTCTTGTGTGGACCATGTCCCACCCCAAGCAGTCTCTGGGTTAATGGCTAAGCTCCTCCCTGGAATCCTGGGGTCTCACTGGCTGGGACTGTGAGGCAAGAAACCTCTCCTTGGAAGGGAGGAGAGCCTGAAAGACAGACACCATGTTAAAGACAGAAGGACCAAGCTGGACAGACAGAAACCCTGCATGAAGACACTAGGGAGAGTTACCTGGGGGAGATCTCAGGCAGACCAATGCTAGAGGAGAGATGGATTTCTCAAGGAGCTCTAAGGTCTCAAGGCTGATGCAAGCCAGGAACAGGACAGCTCAGGGCTGGGATGGCTCAGGGGTGGGATGAGGACAGGTGAACCTGCAGAGGGACTAAGACTAAAGAGAGGATGCCAGGGCTCCCCCAAAGGAGGCATTGGGATGCTCCCAACAGTCCTGAAGGGCTTTTGCCAAGGCTCACGCCTGTCATCCCCAGCCCTGCTCCAGGCACCTAATCAGCTCTCAATAAAATGTCCTTTTGTCAATCAGAAATCATGCTCTCTGCTAATTTCTTTGGGTCTCCTACTTGATTAGCAGCGTCTCCAGGATTCTCAGGGTGACGTGCATGAGATCGAGGTAGGAAAGTAGCCCAAGAAGAGAGGCCCACACTCTCCTTGGGGCATCTCTCGGGATATGAGGAGTCTGGTCACTAGAACCTCTGTCTCTCTGTCTTCTCCTTCCACCATTCCTCCTCCAGCACAGAACCATGCCCATTCCCAGCTATCTCTCTGGTCAGAGGGGCCATGGCTGTGACCTCCAGATAAGCTCTACCTCCCTGACCTTGTGGGGACCCTCCACACCATAGTGTCCTCTCTTTCCTCAACCTGGAAACCCTGATCTGATCTGGGCCCCCTCTGCTCCTGGCCCTTGTCCCCCTATGCCCTCCTCCGCCCACCCCACCCAGCTCTGCTTCTGTCCACTTCACTCCCTCCCTGTTGCTCCCTCAGGCTGGACCACCCATAGGGTCCAGGACACTCCAGTAACTCGGCTTCACAGGCTCTTGAATCTGGACTTGAATTCCTCACCGGATGGCAGGTTCAGAGATGTAAGAGGAATAGAAGGAAGCCAGGAAGAAAGTGTTGAACATAAAGACTGCTGGGAGCTTTGGGCATCTGCAAAAGCTCTGAGCTCCCCAGGAACCAGTGCAAGGAGGGAAATAGGTGCCCCCCAGTTTCTCTGCTGGAGGGAAACTGGTGTCTCAATGCCGAGGCCAGGTATCTTGTACCATAATAAAAAGTGGGGACCTGTTTCACCCGAGACCTCCCCAGGGATGGGACTTGGGCTCGGACACACACACAGATAACCCTCCAGCAGCCTCAGGATACAGCAATGACCTTAAGGATGATTCCGCTGTCTCTTCATGGGGAGCCCCCTGTGTTCCTGCCTCCATTACTGCCAGGTCACTGTAGCCCAATGGGGCAGGGGTGATTACCTAGTTACAGTCCCCTGATTTGGCCCAGTGCATCCCTGCCAGGCAAGCTCCTGCCCCTGGGCCCAGAATGGACCCTTGGCGCCAAGTCCCAACGCCCCACACCCACTGCAGGCCCAGCCCATGCCCACTCTGCCTGATGGCCCCTTGGCTACTCCGGGGCCTATGAGCCACTCCCCAACTTGTGCCCCAGCTCTGCCAAAGGAAGATGGGGTACTGGCCCAGGTGTGAGGCTCAGAAAATCATCTGCCATCTTCTGGGGGCCAGGAGAGGCATTGCTTATTCAGAATTCTCTCCACTCAACCCTGGAAGTCACTGGGAAAAGCAGAGTCCAACTGGGGACGTGCTGGGTGGCGCTATGGGGTTCTGGGGGCCTGGGGTTCCAGATACCCTCGGACATGAGGGGTGGTAAATAGACCCGGCCCCAGCACCCACAGCCCTTCATGCTGGGCCCCTGGGCTCCCGATCCCGCCTGCACTCTGGGGGTTAAAGTGGGATGGGCCAGGTGTGTCACTGTGGGAGGTGGCCACAGATGGGTTGACGGTGATCCCCTGGTGAGTACTGTTTGAGGCTCGTGTTTGACCTCATGTGATGCACCGGGCAGCCCAGAAGGCAAGTACCCATACCTCACACCTTACAGACAGGGAGACTGAGGCTTCCCGAGCACTGGTGGCCTGCCGAGCTCTTTCTCTGGTCAGGTGGTCATAGTCACAGAAATGATGGGTACCCAGGCCTCTCCCTCACCCCAAGGTCACCCTCTTTCCTGTAGAAGTCATAACTATGCCAGGCCAGGAGAAGATGCTGAACACACAGACCCTGTTTGTCTCTAGAGATCAAAGATACCCTTAAGGCTCTGTGGGGTGGGAGGATCCGGGCTCCTCGGCCCTCTGGTCTCAGCACTGGAACATGCTGAGTGTGGCAGCAAGGGTGTCCCTGTGTGTGAGTCGGGGTGGGGTGTATGTGTGGGTGTGTGTGTGTGTGTCAGTGTCTGGAGCTGCAGGTGTGATCGGCTGTGAGTGTGGGGTGTGGGTTTGTGCCTATCCCTTTGCATCTCACGGGCAACTTCCTAGGGACAGGGTCAGTCAATCACCACAAGGCCTCTCTGAACCACAGCCACGGACCCAGGGGTCTCCTACCTACTCCCCGCCTTCTGCTAGGCCTTCAGGCTCAGGGAGGTGCTGGCCCCTTCCTGACCCTCTCCACAGGCCTCCTCCCTCTGACTCTCAAGTTCCCAGGGCAGGCTCTGCACTCCTGTCCTCTCAGCAAGGGAACGTCTCAGCGGGCCCATGAACCCTCCAGCATGCTGAGTGTGAGCTCCCCCGGAGACCTGAGATTGGAGGATGTCAGAGCCTGTCAGCCGGCCCCTCGAGGGCCACAGGCTCCTGAACAAAGCAGGGGCAGGTGTTGTGTGCCCATTTCAAAGATGAGAGAGCCAAGGCTCTGACAGTGGGCTGGGGGGTTGTGGGTAAAGCCTGGGGTCACAAGGTGAGTTCCTGCTGTCCTTGCCCCGCAGGCTCTTTCCTCAGCTCCACTCTCCTATGTGACATGTCACTCATTCACTCACACCCTCCTTTATTCAACAATCCCTCAGTGAGCACTGCTGTGGGCCAGGGCTGGCAGCA